CACATAGGTGCTCGTCCATTTGTACAACTTGGGCCACCAATAGTGGTGACTCACAGAGATGTACATTTTCTCACGACCGAGATGACCACTGGGTGGCATGTCGTGAGCCTCAAACGGCTTGGAGCGGAGCAGGTGGACCATGAACTTGACAAATGCATACTTCATCGCAAGTAGCTCTTTGTCATGAACTCGGTAGTTCGTCTCCGCAGCTCTGAGCTGTCGAGATTCAAACGCGATCACCTGATCTCGCCCCTCGGCGTCTGCTTGCAGCAGTGCACAGCCGATAACAAAGTCCAAAGCGTCACAGACGACGCTGAAAGGACGATCAGGGTCTGGCAGTGCCAGTATTGATGCATGCAGGATCATTGACCCCGTCAAAAGCCTCCTGATGTTTGGTGTTCCAACACCATTCCGCATCCTGTTTAAGGAGGAGCCGGGCCATTTCTGCGTAATTTACGCTGTACTTGTGCAAGTAATTGGGAAGACTAAGCCACTTACGCATCCCTTTCTGGTTCTTTGAAACCGGCCAATCTACAATGGCCTTGACCTTAGCGGGATCCGCTCAAAGGCCACGCTTCCCAATCGACACCGCTTTTAGATGAACGATGTGGTTCTCCTCATCTGTCCTCCAGTGCTCCGCACGACTGTGAACGAAAATGTCGTCAAAGTATGTCTGTGCATACACCCTGTGGGGCCTGAACAACTGCGTCACAAGACAATTAAACGTTGCTGATGCATTTGACAGCCCTTGCGGCATCACCAGCCACTCCCAGAGCATGCCGCTCGGAGTGCTTATCGCTTTCAGCGAAATGTCACTCGCTCTCATGAGCAATTGGTAACATCCATCTACCAAATCGAGTGTATTGTACTTCGTACATCCCACCATGTTGTTCTGAAGAACATCCTTTCTAGATTGGCGTTTGTACCGGAATGGTGGCAGCGTTGTGCTTTTTGTAAGCATGAGCAATACGCCACTTGCCGTTCGGCTTCCGAACACAAACGTGAGTGTAAAATGGGGAGACTTGCTCTCACGCACCATTCCTGCGTCGTGCTTCGCACGGAAAAAGCGTCAATGACGTTGCACTGCTCCTTGGGCAGGGACCATTGGCGTGTTACGCAGTATTTGGATTCCGGAACCAGGTCGATCTCATGACGCACACCTCGGACCGGAGGTGAGACCGATGGCGGGTCTTTGGAGATGACGTCTTGAAATTCCTTCACCAAAGGATAGTACGGATCCAAGATTTTCCGTAGGATCGACGATCCACTCTGTGCGTTAAGCACTCTCTTGGTGTCCCCCAAGAGAGCTTCATCCAAAAGCGATGACGAGATTATCTTCTCGTCCGTCGTACAATGACCACTTCGGCCAAATCACCTGCCTTCAAGGCACTGCCGAACTCTTCAAGGGACATCTCGTCTAGCTCAAGAAGAGCATCTACCGCAGGCATAGCCTCGAGGCGGACGTCGCCATCTTCCTTCCTCGTCATACCGTTGACGAGGGTGTATAACTGTGCACCGTCGTCT